GGTGTTGCCCATCTGGTGATCGTCTAGACGACTCCCGCTTTGGGAACTTTGGTTCCTTCTAGTTTTCTCGTCTCCCTTCCCCTTCCCCTGAATCTTGGTGTAGTTCCGTAAATTCTGTCTTCCTAAGACCCTTCTGGGCAGGCATCTTTAGCTAACACTCCAGTGAGAGTACTTCTGGGCACAGACAGAGTGCGGTGCACGGAGGGGATAAGGAATTTAACAGGGAATATACCCTTTGATAGGTTTACGGAAATCACTCACATCTCCATATGAGCATTGTCTTCAAAAGCAAATGGGAGCAGGATATATTCCATACCCCTCACCCCAGGTATTTTTAAAAGAAGGGACCAGGAACACCCACACCCAAATCCCACTTGGCTCTGTCACCCTCCCTAGAACTGAGATGAAAAAAAATATAGTGCCCTCTCTACATAAATATCATCCCATCAATAACCAGAATGGGTTTTCCATGTGTTAATACCATCATCACCATTTAATTTTTGACATAAACTTTACATTATATACAAGTTCGTTTGGATAATATCCTTATGTGTAAATTGTAGAAATCAAGCATGTATATTATATACATGTGTACACAAGCATTTGTATTCACAGGATAAGTGCAATTGATCATCTCTGATCTCTATCAAGTGGCAGGCTGACCTCATCTGATACAATTAGATATGAACACAGTACAATGGAAGGGGACCGAATGGAAAGGGGCAGCTGCATTTTGGGAGAACTTTTCAAGTACAGACCCCACCTAACCCCTCATTAAGCACCTTTCAACCCTGTTTACCAAAAGAAGATGGAGGTATCTAGAAAGGTCTAATTTTATCTCCACTGAAATCAAACGCTGCTTTTGGAATGAAAACTGCCTTTATAGGGAACCCTTAAATCATATTAAATATCAACCAATGAGTTTAGCCTCTACTTATTCAATTTTTTTTTTTTTCTTGCAGTCCAATTGTGTCTGCTATAGCCACGGCTACCACAAAACAGGCTCCACTGCTGAGAAAACTCACGTCCCCTTTTCCAAGATTCATGCACAAAGAAACGGTACAGGATGTGCATCGAGTTAACGAATATATTCTGCTCTTCTGAAAGATATTTAGGTTTCTCAAATTAGTATTTATTTAGGTCTCAAACCACAAGGGAATAGAGTGCAAGGTATTTATTTATATGACAACTGATTATTAAAGCTGCACTTTTTAGGTTTAAAAGAGATAAATTTTTAATCACCATTTAATTAACACCAACTTTTTTTTTTTTTCTTTTTCATTAGCAATTCCACTTGCAAAGAATTCAGGGCATTTGTCATTTCCTGAGAAGGATCCAGAATATTAAATACACATCGGTGGTAGAGATATCAAATAGAATAAACAATGGCTGCTGTGGATCTTTTGACTAATTAACTGCCTTGGCTGGAGTCCCATTTAAGTGAAACTATTTCATTTGTAAACAAGGTGTAATTTTCTTTTTTTTCTCTCCTGAAAATAAGCGTGAATTGATTTGACTGATTTTACTGCCATGGGTGAAGTTTCCTGCTTTCATCATAAAAGCGAAGTACGAAAATTTCTCATCCTGGGAAACAGGGAAGAGAAGACCAAGCATAGTCCGTGAGACACCCAGTCATGGCGCTGGCTAAAAGCCTGCAGCGGGGTTTGGAAAG